AAGTAGTACATTTCAAACTCTTATGAAACAGATTCTATACCTCCCCTAACAACAGCTCTTGCAAGTACCCCCAACGTAAAAGCTTCAAACTAGAACTTAGGCGTTCTTCTTGACCTCAGCAGACTTGATAATATCAATGAACTCCGGCTGGAGACAAGACGAAAATATCAGGATTAGAACCCACCATAATACACATGGATTTGTGTACAAAAACAAAGAGCGGCAAAGGAGACGAGGAGTGTAGTAACATCATTACCTTCAATGAAGCTCCACCAACCAAAAAACCATCGACATCAGGCTGAGCTGCTAGTTCCTTGCAGTTTGCAGCAGTGACAGATCCTAAAAGAGGTATGCAGTTGAAACTAAGGCAAGAAACAGGGAAGAAGATACAACTATTCTGTATTATATTTTGCTGTATGTTATGAGGTTTGGCATGCACGTGCAATGACAAATTCACCAAATAGAAGCAATCTTGACTATGCAAGAGATTTGATATTCTTTTTCTTCTAACTATAATGAGATAATGATGCCAGCTGTTGGATCTACTCATTATTTCTCTATTAGCCAAGAAAGAAGAAAAAATGGGGAATCAAGGTGCTGTTAGAGCTAAAAGTGGCAGCATAACGATTTCTTCCTCTAAGCTTTATCATCTAAAAATCAATAAGCTTTTTATGATCTAGAAGTAAATAAGCTTTTATTCCTCAAGCCTACTAGAATTGCAACTTTTTCAATGTTATTTTAACAAATCAACTTGGCCAAACTTGCCATGAATGAGTTTATTGACCAAGTTAAATCATGATGGTGACCAAGTTAAATCATGATGGTGAACAAGCTCAATCTAATTTTGCGCAGCCCTTCATTCATTAAAAATGGATCCAGCCAAGTCGAGGTACATAAAAGATTAGTCAAGATTTGCTATATGCCACACATCATTCTCCAAAGGGAATATAGAGTAATGTATGGTTCCTTGAGAGCTCAGATGTAACTGAAGATATTTAGCTTAAACTGAAGACAATGGTCAACCCGTAAAAAAAATTATTTGAAGATTTTGCATACTTTAAGAGTGGGCAAGCATCTTCCCAGTATTTTGTGTAAAAGTTTTCAGTTTATGAACTCTAAAGTTCACTACCTTCAGAACATGAAGGTTCTAAGGGCCAACCTACTGAACTTTCATTCTGGATTGTAAGAGTAACTTAGATCAGATCAAGAGGCAAGACTAGAGGGATGATGTGAAATATACCTCCATAAATAATCCGGGTTGATGCAGCAACTTCTGGACTGACGTTTGCTTGAAGCCATTTCCTTAACTCAGAATGTACCTATTACATGGACAAAACCCTTGTAAGTTAACCTTCACCAAGGAAAATTGTGTGTGAGAAATTCCACATCATTCATAGAAATGAAAAGCGAAATATAACCCACAAGTTTTATCATCTACACTTGTATACAACTTACAAGTAAGTCAAGAAACACCATTATGAGGTTTTAAAATGAAAACAGCCTAACTTACTTCCTGAGCTTGAGCTGGAGTAGCAACCTTCCCAGTTCCAATAGCCCATACAGGCTCATAGGCCAAAACGACATCTGCCCAGTTTGATACTTTTGCTGCCATTGGAAATTATACAGGAAAGCAGCCAGATGCTTAGATTTTGTAACAGTTAGCACTCCAATTAGTGATGCAAAAACAACATTTGTAAAAGAAGTAGGTGCAGTTCTTGAAGCCGGTTACAGTTAGTGTTCTATGCCTATCTTGAATCTCAAAGTTATTCTTACAGTAAGAACAAAGATAAAGAAAACAAAAGAACATTCAAATTAGAATAAGTGCAATACTTAAGTCTTGTCACAGTCACATTACAAGCGTAACACAAGAGAATTTAACAGAGTCGTGCAGATGTATACGGATACCACGGTGAGTAACTACCTTGACATGAAGATTTATAGGGAAAAAAAAGCATTATTCTTTAAACAAAATAAAAACACCTGGCACTAGATAAATATATGCAGCAAGCCCCTTTATACAAGCAGAAAGACATAGTAATATTTCAGCATGTTTCGATGTTCAAAATAGACTCCTTTCAAGACAAATAAGAACAAATGTAAGCAAAGAAATCATTACAATAATGCATGCAAATATAGAATCAAAAAGACCAAGTTGTATTTACATGAAATATCCAACAAATCTGACATCTAAACAAGTAACAAAGCTGACCACATTCAATCAAGGTCTGCTACTTTGAAAATATAGAAATTTTAGGAGTATCACCAGGAGAAATGCGCCATGGGCTTTCCAAATGGAGAGAAAGCATTAAATACATACCTGCAATTGCTTTAGTTTGTGCAGCAACAACCTCCGTAGTAGATCCTGCTTCACGTTGCTCAAGTGTCTCCCCAATACAAGCTATCACCTTCAAACCTTGAGAAAGTGCATAAGCAACCTTATCCCCAACAAACTAAAACAAGAGAACCAAAATTTCCAAGTTAATAAAAATGTTGACAGTTTCACTAGCAAGCAAAAATGAGCAAAAATCAATATCTAGTAACCAATCCATCAGGAAGCACCACCAGATGTCAGTAGTTATAGTCTGATCAAACACACTTACCTCATTTGACTCCTTCAGAATAAGCCTCCTCTCAGAGTGACCAATAATGACCCAAGGAATGCACAAATTGACAAGCATCTCTGCACTGAAAAAAATACATCTAGTGTTAGCTTAAATGAATTATTGTCCATAATGTCAAACCAAACAAATGGCCGGATGAAATTGCATTGAGTGAAAGCATTTGACAAGAAAAGACAACATCATCCTTTTCTTAATTGTCAAGATTATGTTTCTTCTTATGAAACAGAAAAATGATACAGATATGTTTGCTTGAGCAGAAAAAACAACAACATCTAAACACAAAGAAGCAAAGTGCAAGTCCATTAAACAACCAAATACAACGGATTGGAAGACTAAAGAACCAAGTAACAGCAGATAGCAAATGTGGGCATACCTAACCTCGCCGGTAAAGGCACCTCCTTTCTTGACCCAACAATTTTGGGCAGCAACATGAAAGTCAGGCCTCAATAAATCTTTGACCAAAGGAAGGAACACAAACGGAGGGCTAATGACAACTTCTGTATAAGAATAACACGTTAATCCAAAATAAGCCATCTGCTCTATCATCAAAAAAACCAATAAAAGAGAAAGTAGTTATAGCAAAGAAACAACAAGCACAACAACAAACAGGGCAAGAGATTATTCATCCAATAACAAAAAAATCAATGTTTAATAAAGAAATCAGTCAAAATAACTGCTAGAGACAAAAAATCTAAAGATGTTACCATGATATGTAAGTTAGACAAAAATTTTGCTTCAAAAAATATAAAAGCAAATAGACAACACCTTTACTTTGTCATGAAATCGGTAGTTTCCATCAATTTTTCACTTATGCAGGCTCCGAATCCGCAGTATAACAAATCAAGTTCAAAGAAGAAGATTACAAAAAAAATAAAAAATCTATAAAACAGTTATCTATTTGCTTACCAACAACATCCTGAGACGGCACCCCTCCTCCATTCAAAGTGCTTACTATGTTCTTCACTTGTTCAGTCGTTCCATTCTACAGACATTTTTGCTTCAAATTAGACATTTAAATTTACTTATTTACATAACAAACAAAAAAAAGACATTAATACATTATTAAAGATCTGTCACGAAGTTAATAGCTATATTTTCCTAATATAACTGAATAATAATAATAATAAAATGCGAAACGGGTGGATAAAGCCAATATTCATTTTCATTTTCATTTTCTCACGAACCAAACAGAAAAATAGATCATAAGACACTATCAGTCTATCAAGTCATTGAATTACTTTAAAAAAAATAAAAAAGAAAAGGAAAATCCGAAGCAGAAACTCACGCATTTCCAGTTACCGCCAACGAAGAACTTTCTTCCCATTTTTTTTTCCCGACGATCACGAAAATCACCAAATCTCAAACTTCTTTGGTTTTTGGCTTTTGGCTTTCGGCTTCTGGCTTCTGGCTTCTGGCTTCGGCTTTACGGTGAGTGAAGATAAACCTTCAAAAACTTGGAATTAGTCGAAATTACTCTTCTAGCCAAATAGATTAGAATATTGTTAGCGGGAAGTTAGGGGTAATTAAGTAAAACTGGTACCCAATTTGGATATTCTGATTTTGAGGCCGGCGATGGAGTGGGCCCACAGGATTAGGTCTGCCATTCAGGTGAAGGAAGGCTAAAGGCCACGTCATCAGGTCACGGGCTAACGCTTCACGCCCACCACTCTCACTGTCATATACATCATGGGTCATGCGCCACTGTGGACCTGTGGCGCACTTTTTTTTATTTTTTGTATTTTCTTTTTTTTTTCCTTTGGCCAAATACATACTTTTTAGTTTTAGCAAAATCTATTTTGCAAAGATATTTTTATTAACTTTTTCTTAGGCATATATTTTGCCACAAAAATCATTATTTTTTTCTTATAAAGTCAACGTTTTTTTTTATTATATTATTTTTTGGAGTAATTAACTTTCGATCTTTGTATATATATATATATGAATGTGATGTTTTAAAGTAAATTTAGATATTTTATATATGATTTTTTTAGTCTTAAGATGATTCCATATTATTTATGATTTGTTTCTTTTAATTATTTCTTTTGTGGGGAGTGTTCAAAAAAGCAAAGAACTCGCTAATCACTTTAATTGAATTAGGCCAAATTACATAATTAATTTATGTATTCTGTTAAAGTGATAGATTTAATTGATATATAACAATTTATAAATATTGAATTTTTGTAATTTTCAAAATTACATTTAATTAAAAAAAACACTAGTAAGGTGAAAATAACATTATTTGTTAAGACCACATGCAAAACTAGAACCAAATTCTATTGCAAGACATCATTCTCAAAGCCAATTATGCTTAACTCAATTAGTGTTTAGCCTTTCAAAAAAAAAACTCAATTATTATTTAAGGGAAATAATTAGATAAAATATATTAAATTCAAATCATAACAATCTTTCTATAGTTTGCAAAGAAAAAAAAAAGACTAATGAAACCTAATTTGATTCAATAGTTTTTTTTATTAATTTGAGCCTTTTTAATTAATGTTTATTTTTTCTTATATTTGGTAAAAATAATGCATTATATGTATATATATATTTTTCAAATATATGAGTTGTATATGGGTCCATCAGCCCAAAATAAGGAGCCCAGTCTGTTCCAAGCTGAGTTTGGCCAGACTAAGAGTTTCAGTCCAATCAAAAATTAATATTAAAATATTATAGTAATAAAATAAAATAAAATAAAATAAAATATTTTTACAATATGAAAATTTGAATTAGGCTGAGCATAAAATACCACTTAAGCTTAATCTATTAATACATTTACTAGTTTGTTTCATTCTTAATTGTGTATTTTTTTCTAAATAGAAACACAATAAAGTATAAATTATAATTATCAAAATGTAGATTTATTACAAATTATAATACAGATAGTTGAAATTATTATTTATGAAAAATTCCCCTATTTTTAAAACTCATACAACTAGAAGTATAAATAACATTTTATATTCTTTACTAATACCATTAAAAAAATTATGTTATACACCACTTGTGGAGTTAATACATGGTTCATTAGAATATAGTTATAAAAATTAATGAAATAATTAATTATTAGATAGATACATGATAACCGTCTAATTTTAACTTTCTTAAATATGTATAAAATAATAATTTTAACATTAAAAATAAAGTAATCATTTTTTTAAAAAATAAGATCAAAACCTTCAATTAACGTGATAAAGATCGAATATAGTCAAAATTTTTATGAAAATTAATATTACCAGGTTGTCACAATATAAAAATTAATTAATTATTAAATGAATATAGGACAACCATTGAATTTTATTTGTGAAATTTTAAAATTTCACTATTGGTGTATACAATAATAATTTTAAAATAAAATAATAAAATAATCATTTATTAAAAAATAAAGATTAAAATCGAGTATAGTCTAAATTTCTATGAAAATTAAAATTATGAAATTGTCACAGTATATAATTAGATTGTGTATTTAATGTATACAAGAAATAATTATGAAAAAAATAAAATTTAAAATAATTATTATATTTCCTATAGAAACTTTCATATTTGTTGCAAAATCTAAAATGAAATTCAAATTATAAATTCCTCTAATTTTCCTTTTTTTAAATCTCCAATGCTACAGAACAAACCACAGCCGTCCGATCCTCCAAATCACATCGCAACTCTAGAAATGTCCGAAATCCCGCCCAAAATTTTCAAGTTTTGAATTCAAAATTCCGAGGGGCTCTCCCTACTAGACCCCCTCCCCCAACGTCTCCCTCTGATCAAATCCAGCATAAAACCCTTCCTCGTTTCCTTCTCCGAAAGGAAAACCAATCCGAAATCCGCCATGGTTGCAGATTTTAAGCTTCCGCTGCAAAGCAGCAACAACGCGAACATGAAAGCCTCGAAAACAATCGAAGAAACCTACCAAAAGAAAACCCAATTAGAACACATACTCCTCCGACCCGACACCTACATCGGTTCGATCGAACAACACACTCAACGTCTGTGGGTTTACGAAAACGACGAGATGGTCCACCGTGACATAAAATACGTTCCGGGACTTTACAAAATCTTCGATGAAATCTTAGTCAACGCCGCCGATAACAAGCAACGGGATCCGTCGATGGATTCTGTTAAGGTAGTTATCGACGAGGAACAGAATTTGATTTCCGTTTATAATAGCGGAGACGGGGTTCCCGTTGAGGTTCATCAGGAAGAAGGTGTTTACGTTCCGGAGTTGATATTCGGGCATTTGTTGACTAGTAGTAATTATGATGATACGGTTAAGAAGACTACCGGAGGGAGAAATGGGTACGGTGCTAAGCTTACGAATATCTTCTCCACTGAGTTTGTTATCGAAACGGCTGATGGGAAACGGCAGAAGAAGTATAAGCAGGTATTTCCCATTTTTTGTCCCAAACATTTTGCCTGTTGGAAGTGAATACAGTTTGATTTACTTAGGACATGGTTTTCAACAGCGAGTAGTGGCGCAATATGATTCGTATAACTGATTTTGTGTAATGGTAATAGGGTTTTAGCTTATGAAAGGAACTTGTAGCAATGATTTGAATTAAAACGGTTGAAAGTTATTCTTGTTTTCACTTTTCAGTAGTAATTAATTGCTATTTAAACTGTTGCATTATCTTGAAGGTGTTTTCAAACAACATGGGAGAGAAATCTGAGCCTGTTATAAGCAAGTGTAAGGAGGCTGAGAACTGGACAAAGGTTACATTTAAGCCGGACTTGGCCAAGTTTAACATGACTCACTTGGAGGAAGATGTGGTTGCATTGATGAAGAAGAGGGTGTTTGACTTAGCTGGTTGTCTTGGCAAGACTGTGAAGGTTGAGCTGAATGGGAAACGGGTTCCTGTGAAATCATTTCTTGATTATGTCAGTCTCTACCTAAGTGCTGCCTCTAAAACTAAGACAGAACCCCTCCCAAGGTCTTTATTATGAAAATTTTTAAGGTGTTTGTTTTGGTTAAAATTGAAGGTATTTTACTTATTTAAACATGTTTGTTTTATCAGGCTTCTAGAGAAAGTTAATGAGAGATGGGAAGTTTGTGTGAGTCTCAGTGACGGCCAATTTCAACAGGTATTTATCTTGTCTGTTTGAAGTTATTGCGATTAGATTTCAAGAAGTTATCTAATTTTTTGTGTTCTCTAATTACCAGGTCAGCTTTGTTAATGGGATTGCTACAATCAAGGGTGGAACCCATGTTGACTATGTCACTAATCAGATATCCAATTATGTGATGAATATTGTAAATAAGAAGAACAAGAATGCTAATGTCAAAGCGCATAATGTGAAGAACCATTTGTGGGTTTTTGTCAATGCTCTTATTGACAACCCTGCTTTTGATTCTCAAACCAAGGAAACTTTGACACTTCGTCAGAGCAGTTTCGGTTCTAAATGTGAACTTTCAGAAGATTTTTTGAAGAAAGGTTTGTTAGATTAACTCACTTGTATGTACATTAAGCTAAGCAGGTAATTGTAAAACTAATATGGTCCTTGGATGGTGAATTACATTGCAGTTGCAAAGTGTGGAGTCGTGGATAATTTGCTCTCATGGGCAGAGTTCAAGCATAGCAAAGATCTTAAGAAGACTGATGGAGCAAAGACAGGAAGTATTCGTGGGATCCCCAAGCTAGATGATGCTAATGAAGCTGGAGGGAGGAATTCTGATAAATGCACTTTGATTTTGACAGAAGGAGATTCGGCAAAAGCTCTTGCAGTAAGTCGACATGTTTTAACAGCTCAAGTTTCATTTATCAGTATGATGTGAGTCTCTTCATACAAGGAATTAAACTTTGCAGGTGGCTGGGCTTGCTGTTGTAGGCCGAAATCACTATGGTGTCTTCCCGTTGAGAGGTAAACTTCTCAACGTGAGGGAAGCCAGCCATAAACAATTAATGGATAACGCAGAAATACAAAATCTCAAGCGGATTCTCGGACTGCAGCAGGGCAAGGAGTATACTAATGTCAAGTCATTGAGATATGGGCATTTGATGATAATGACTGATCAGGTTTAATGCAGTTCAAACAGTTTTCTTATTGGATTTGTATCTTTGTTGTCTTCATGCTAATAAGCACACGATCAGCTTACAATAAAGAATCTCACATTCTGCAATTTCTTCAGGATCATGATGGTTCCCATATTAAAGGGCTGCTAATCAATTTTATTCATTCCTTCTGGCCGTCACTGCTTAAAGTCCCATCATTCATGGTTGAGTTTATAACTCCTATTGTGAAGGTTAGAATGTACCTTCAGCTAATTAGATTTTACTGGTTCAACATCTTGAAGAAAGCCTTTTGTATTTAATATCCTTATTCTCTGCACAGGCTACTCACAAAACTAAGGGGGTCTTATCCTTTTATTCCATGCCTGAGTATGAGTCTTGGAAGGAAAGGTTGGGGGGTAATGCAAAGGGCTGGTCAATTAAGTACTATAAGGTTTGCATC